TCGAAGCCGGTATGGAAGTACGATGTTTTCTGGCGGACAACACCCAATGACCAGCATATCCCCGTTTTTTCTCTTTCTGTCACGATTTCCGCTACGATTGTACCACCAGGAATGCTCGGGCTAGTGGCATGATAGAGCATAAGCGACTGACCTTTAACCGAAGCGAACTGGTGAATGCCACAGTGAGTCAGGAGGCAGATTTACGAAATTCACGAAAACCTAAGTTGATGGGAGAAAAAGAAAACGTAAAGAAACCTGTATGGCAGTATAATGCGCAGTGATCGGATTGGACGTAGCACTAAGTCCGGGGACCTGAAAATTGAGAGGCAATGTGGGCCCTCGGATTGAAAGTTAGCACAGTTACACACAGCACAGCACCCGAGCTGGGAGATGGAGCACACGACCTACATCAGGAACGGTCTAGGGGTAAAGGGTTTTAAAAGCTTGCGAAGAGGTAGGTGTACAATCAAGCAGCAAAGTAAACCTCTAAGAAAACAGCAATTAGTGACCTGAATACGAATATGAAGATGAGAAGGACATAGAGAAAATAGCTATAAGAGTTGGAGAGTACTGTAGCGTAGAACAGTCCTGGTAGCCGATGTGTTAAAATGACGTAGTATGAGGTTAAAACGGCTATCGCGCAGCAAATCCGGCAAACCCAGTAGGTCGTGATCGAACTCAGTGAGAAAGTGGAAAGAACACGTCACAAACGTGGTGCAGCGCAGTCAACAACGCAGGTCCGCCATGTTTCAATACTTCAGGCGGGATTCCGTCGGCTCCGGCACACTTACCGTTTCGCAGCTGAGCAAGTGCTCTCTGCGTCTCATCCAGTGTCAGGGTGTCTGCCAGACTCGCTTTCACATCGTGCTGCTTCAGGCAGTTCAATGTACGCCAGTTGTTCTCTGAACGGTTGTTCAAGACAGTCGAAGTGTTTTTTCCAGATCTGCATCATGTCTGCAGTCTGTGTGCAGGTAGCGCTTGAACTACCATCCATCAACATCCTCAACGGCTAACATCTCGGTTCATACACCACCTTCAAGGAGTCAAAGAATTCCTTGTGTTGGCGGCGTTCGGCGTAGCATTCAATCTGCTTCGCCTTCTCCGTCCACCACGCATTTTTATGCGACGGAGCTCTCGGGTCAGTCGCCGTCGAAGTTTGCGAAACCGACTACTCTAACCCAAGTCAAGGACGTCTGCGACATGTGCAGCAAATGCTGCATTCTTCTCCGATACCAATGCGCCAACTGTCGAATTGTTCTCATCAAACCAAACAGGCCGCTTACAGTTTGCGCACCCGATGGTCTCCTCGGCAGCAGCTGTCACCTGATCGCGAATGTGATGCCACAGGTCGCCCACTGTTGCTATACAGTCCACATCACACAGGCGTGCAGCCAGCGCCTTCTCCAGCTCAGTACGTTTCGCCACAGTACGGAGGGAGAGAATGTTAAATTTACGCCGATTCACAGCAGGAGTACAATACATATATTTAAGAAAATGTATGTACAGTTTGGTCCGCATCAACTTGTGATCAATGTCACACTCAGCTCCACGCAGTACACGTGTCATGCTCACTTCACGCATATCACGCTGACGTACGATGACATAGTCGAGCAGGTGAGCGTAACCACTCCGTGGGTGCGTCCAAGTTGCTATATCACTCGCACTCGTTGCAAACCGAGTGTTCGTGATCGTCAGGCCGTGAGTGGCACACAGTGAGAGCAGCCTGTCACCGTTCTCATTCGCTGAACCAATGCCATGCGCACCGATAACATCTGTCCACGCTGATGCATCATGCCCAACGCGCGCGTTGAAACCACCCAGCAGAAATAGTCGATCGCTCCTCGGCACAGACCGTATCACGGAGGATAGCTGTGTGTGGAATGGATCACGCGTGTCATCGGGATAACACATGGTCGGACCGTACGTGATTATAAAAGTAGCAAACGTACCTTTTAATGTTTTCTGAAATCATGACTTCCCTATCGTTTCTAAATATGTTCCAATATATTGAGTAGCAAACTTACCTCTTCGGAGTCGTAGGCTAACAGTCATCATTCGCGCGCTGATGCCCGTTGGTTCAACCACCGGCAGGCAATGGAGGCGATCGGATATTGCAAATCCGACCCATGATCACGTGCTGCTGCGACGGCGTTGCCCACTCAGTAGAATGTGTAGCCAGCACCTGCTTCATGCAACTTACCTTGCTCAGCGAGCCGGGTTTTACTGAGCGCTGCAATGTCAATATGGTTGCGCGCCATTTCCATCGCGACCAGTGCAGTGTGTCGCTCGGGGCGCTCGCTGGACTTCCGGTCCAATAGTGTGCGCACGTTCCAACACCCGATGCTGAGTGCTTTGCGCGCAGGCATACGATTGCATTGGTGGGCAATCGCACGCGAGATATATATATATATATACATATATACGTTTACAATATATATATATATATATATATATATATGCCCCATGCTGAGGCATCTGTTGCATTCACGATGCTTCTTCACCGCAGTTGGGCTAAACTAACTTAAACTAGGTCTTTTTAATGTGGATGTGGTTTGTTCTGCGTATTTGATAATCTTCTTCCAACTTGCACACGTCGCTCATGCAAATTGTGGTAAACTTGCGTAATTTTATCGCGTAGTATATTTTAAATAACTTTCGGACATTTTGTACTTACCGCGTATTCATCTGAAATGAATTTCTTCCATATGCTCATTTTACGAGTATTTATATCGTCAAATGCGTTTACTTTATTCGATATCGGCATTTCGAAAGATTGGCTGTTGCTTGATATCCCCGGTGTGGCTGCGCTTGATGTGCATGTTGACAAGGTGCGTACCTGTCTATTACCTGCTACATCGTCCAGACTGGCTCCAGGAGACGGTTGCTCGTTGCTGGAGGGGACGGGGTACACCGTCCTATTGACGGTGCTCGGATCAAAGAGTGGTTCCATGCACTCAGTGTGGAGCGTACTACGGTCCCGCCACCGCCTTGTGTGCACTTGATTCCCAAATACAGCGTGCTTGTGTTTGCCTGCGAAGGAGTGTGGGCCGGCTCCGTTGATGAAACGTGGCTCCTATCCACATGCCTCCCGGTCTTATTCCTTCGGGATTACACTGGATATGGGGTGTGTGGATGGAGCTGTGGGTGGTGCAGCGCAAGCCACCCATAGTTGCATACCGGTTATCGTTTATGGTACTGAGGAGATAACACGAAATGCATGAATCTAACAGACTTCGTCTTCTTACCGTTCATTTCAAATTTCCGAAGGTAACTAGCTGCTTTTAATTTACATTTATTAGTCGGTCGCCAGAATGTACCTGTACTCAGTGAATTTTTCAAATGGGCTGCTGATAGAATAGCTTCTAATTTGTCCAACTAATTAATGGTTCTCCGGATTGTACCGAATTTAACTGACTCTTAAAGCACATGCTAGTTGCTTTAACCTGAAAAGCCGTTAAATGTCATACGTGATGATGAGCAAGGGAGCCGATGTCTAAGAAATCTCGCAGGATAATCACATGAAAGCTACAGAAACAAAATAAACATATTACCGAAATAATGAACAGCAATGAAGCAGTGAGTTAATGATATGCAATTCGTTTTGATGGACAACGGGACTATGACTCGTGTGGTGGCTGAAGTCCAGTAGGCTTGTGGCGCACATGTATCATCTTACACTCTTCGGCGCGGAACCGAAGCGGATTACTTTTTGACCTTACAAAAGTATGGTCTAATTCTCCTTATGGCAGATCGTGATCCTCCTGACTATCGATCTCCCGTCATATCTCAATGTTATCGGCACAAAGCAAGCAGGTTGACTCGATGAGTTAGTTGATGAAAACCAAGAATAAGTGTGGCCCCAACAGTGGTCCTTGGGGAACACCACATTCCACTTCTGTAGCATTGGACATTGAGCCCCGACCCCGACCGCGCACCTACAGCCGCCGCTGAAGTTTCCGATCCACCCAAGGACAGGGCTTCCAATACTGTAGGTTCGAAAATTTTGGAGAAGGATGCGGTGATCTAAGTGGTCGCAGCTAGCTGGATGACAACGGTTCCGGCCCCGCTATCCGCGATTCCGGTTCAGTTGCAATGAGCATTCAATAAGTTGGTGGTACATGACTGGTGTTGACGGAAACTGTGTTTCTCCGGTGCAGTGATGTAGCGCTTCTTTGCATTAAATGTAACTAGTAAAGACGGATGTTCAGTATCTCAGAATATGCTTGGAACCGACTGGGATCTCATATTTTCTGAAGGTTTTGAATACAAATCGGTTTTTGTAAGCTTTTATTATAGCAACGTTTCGTTCTTGACGCAAGAGCTTCTCTAGGCCAGGTCAAGCTCTTGCGTCAAGAGCGAAACGTTGCCATAATAAAACCCACAAAAACCGATTTGTATTCAAAACCTCCTGAAATCAAAAGACGGATGTTCGTGATAAGTGAACGACTGCATACGGGAAAATATGCATGTATTTTTACATGACAAGGGCATGCGCAGCGTTCCGCTAGTCAAATTTGTATAGTATAGCCGGAGCTGTAAGTTAGACTGATATGTGATAAATCCTAGAAATTGGTCATTTAAAAGAACAATTGAGGATCTCGATACTCAACGGAAAAGTTAACGCGATAGATTGCTGGTTACATCTTAATGGCCATTCAATTGCGCTGTCACACCAGAATACACATTTCCCTATCAAGCCTCCAGCTGGGAGATCCCATCAACAACACCAACATTAGCTGGTGCTATTCAGAGCCTACGAATCTAGATCTATAGGTTCATGGAATCCCTGCGTCTTTACTGATCGTTAATAGGGCCAGAGTGGTATAGATAGTAGACTAAGATAGGCATTCACTAGACAGGATAACGGACAACAGGGCACAGATGTGGACACTATGTGACCCACGTTTTGCCAGCCAAGTTTGTTAAGTTGTCTTTCCGTACTACAATCTAATACAATAATTCCACCAAACATTATTGGTCGTATTCGTCTCTGCATTTAGATTGAATCGGATCACTGTAGGAGAAAGTCCAGCGCTGGCTTAAACGTGACGGACCGCCGGGAATCGGAAACCAAAGGGCTACTGTTGCCTGCGCAGATCGCCAAGCAGCCGCGCAAACCCGGAGCTCGAGGTGAGAAAGAAATGTAAGACATGCTTTGGGTAACTTTTTCTTTGACTACAGCTTGCTGTAAACACTTTTAATGGCGCCATTAGTGTTTTTTGGAAACTGTAATATGAGGATAGCATATTTCTTCCACTGCTTTGGTAAATCCCGTTCGATGGGAACACAGCGGCCAACCGCATAACGCACTCGTTTATACATATTGAGACCGCAGCGAAGTATCGTTTTCTATTCGAGTATGTAATTACTGTTGTCCGGACGAAGCTGGTTGCTGTTAGTTAAATGGACAAGCGAAGCGATCTCTACACGTGGAGTAATCATGTAAAATTGCATACCAGTGGTGCAAAACGACGCCGACGGATAAAGTCGGAGTTGTGGTCACCAACCGTCCCCAGTTCGCTGCTTAGCCACCAAATATTTACTGGTCAGTTGTGTTGGCTCACAGTCCTCCGTCATTCAGTTAACAAAACGTCCTTCGGATCGTCTCACGTCTCGTGCTCAAAATGCCGGTCCGATATATCATGTGAACGTCGCAGCTGTTACTTGAAGCAACCGATGAGGTTGTAGAAGATTTACTTGTGCTCGGGTGTGACCGGCGTTTAATCGCGCCCACGTGACAGCCTATAGTGAGCACATACCAAATTCGAGCTCTATAATATTCCATCCACTTCCGTCTGGAGGTCAACTTTTCCGGATATTGTGCATAATTGGTAGCATGGTTAGACGAAAGTGTAGTCAGTGGGGAGAATAAGAGGTCACAATACCATCAACTAAAAGAATTAAGTTCAAATGTAAAATGTTAGGTTCTTTGAAATGTAACCAGTGTACGTGCCCTGTGCTAGCCATTGGGACAAGCGTGTTCATGATCATTCTGCAACATGTGCTTGACACTGTGGCAAATGAGCCTCTAGTGCTACGTGTTCGCGACTGTGTTGGGCGAAGCACTGCGTATATGTGCCCGCACTAGATGCGAGATACCCACTTCATGACACAGTCAGCACTTCCCGAGTCACGAACTCCGGTGACACAGGCTAACTGGAATGGTTTCGAGGCGTCATCTCATGGTATGACCCAGCCGGATGCAGTGGCGTGAGTTCAAGTAAGCCACACAGTATGCTAATCAAATTGGTGTCAGAAAAGTAATCAATTTATAATGTGAACCAGATACAAGCTGACACATTCAAACTTACCAGTCGGCCTGACCGAGTACCGAGAACACCTGGCTCAAAGGTGTCGTCGTGGTATAGAGTAACATTAAAATATCCAACCCTCAGCTTATCTGGATATGTTGTCCTTTATATTTGGTAGCAAACAATCGACGGTACCAGAAATATCGCCCTCTGTCACATGTCGCCCGGGGCAAACCGTCCCTGGTCCCCTTGTTATATCTCTGGTCCTCAGTATACAGTGTTAACAAAATTACAATTCACTGATGATGGGGATTGAGTCGGAAACATCCACGCACTAGGCTGCAGCATTCCTCGACCAAGTGAATCAGCAGCACAATTATTATGCATATTCTAACCAGCTTACGCTGTAATTCAACCACAGATATTCCGAACCGCTTTCAATTTTTAACCGACAGGGCGCACGCCGGATTACCAAGCACTGTGCCTAATCCCGTCAGCCAATAGGCCAACCGGGAGATGTTGCGTGGCACGCCGTGTTGTGGCCGATTCATGACGATGTCCCTACTCACGTTTCATTAGCTGACTGAAACAGCGATTATCTCCTTGGTTGCATAAAATACGGACGGTTAAAACTGATTATTCTGTGTGCTGAGATGTTTAACTTCCGGTTGAATACTAATACACATACTGTTGCTTTCTTGCTACAACATTTTGCGTCGCGGATCAAAGGATGAGCACTTTCAGTTACCCCCCATATCCCTTTTGGACTGATTGCGGTAGTAGACCAACATCGGACGCCTGTCTCCATTAGAAAAATGCTTCCGAAACGATTTAAATTTTATCAGCGACTTCCGTTCTACTCTTAGTGAAGAAGACAGATCGAAGCTGCTCGACATTTACTCGGGCATGAGGGGCAGTGGCAGTTTGATGACTTGGGCCTTTAAAAATGCAAACCCGTGAGAGACACTTTCAGTATTCTCGATCGTACCTGTGGTCACCAAATGAATGAATGCATCAGGAAACAGTTGAACCCCTAAACGGGTTCTTTGCTCGGTTGAGTCGTGTATTATGACCGTGTGATTATTCGTTCATTTTCAAGAAAATATCGGAGGCTGTATGCTCACTCAGAAATTGCTTTCTGGAATTACTGACAAATATTCCCGCACAAGCACCCGAAACCCCTGCAGAATGGCTGTGGAAAGCGAGGTCCAATTCCTCCCCGCAATGCAGCAGCCTTCAGCCACTCCAAGACGCGGCCCAACTGCGATGACAATGATCTTTTACAAACTATCGCCTCGTCGTGGTAGCAACCCCCTAACTTGATGACCCATAGCATTGGCTGTGATTTGCCCTTTGTTGGTCGTAAAAGAACTTTCGGAGGACCACTTGCCTTTTTTCCTCTTCGCCTCAGTGGGAGTCGGTCGGTCACGTGATTTCGTGTGCGTCGTTAGCCGGACAGCCTTCGCGTCTAAGTCACTAGCGCGCGTTTACCGTAACCCCTTCTCGTGTGCATCCGTTCCGAGGGCTCAGCGTCTACCCGAATACGTGCGGCTAGGATCGTTCTCACGCTCGCTCAATTTCCGTCTCATCAGCGCGTACCCCGGGCTAAGCTAACGCCGTCAGGTCAACGCAAATCCGTTCGATTGGCCAGCGTTCCAATCCGTTACCGTAGACGCACTCCAATCATGCCAGTGACAATCTTATCAGGCGTCTACGCAATCATAACAGAGGCGTTTCCATCAATTATAACGGTATGGTTGATGCGCTGTTGAAGGAAATGGTGTGCACATTAACGTGGGATCGAGCCCGTCAATTAGCCAGAAAGAAAACTGAAATTTCACTGCAATCGAAACAATTCTGTCCGACCGATTCAGATGAGATGGCAAAGAAGCAAACTTTCCGACAATTACTAGCGGACAAACCATATTGCTATCGCAGTGGAAGTACATCTCGCAAAATTAATTTTGCCACTTGTCCCGCCCGCATCCAGCCTCAAGTGCTAAAACTATGGCAAAGTTGGGCACTAAGTCCGATGTTATCGGTCGCAGGCCATTGCACTCACCAACAGCAATGCCACAGCTGAAGGCCATGTTGCTAATCCATATCAGGAAAATATTTATTCCATCATCGCTAATGCCAACACTACAAGTGGTCTAACAATATCCGTTATCAAACTAAAGTTTCCCTCCACCGGTATTTTTATTGTTATTATTTAACATTAAAGGCGTTGTTCCACTTGAAATGAATCTAGATTCTGCTCTTTTAGTTACTATTGTACCGTTTCAATTATACGAACGCTACCTAGAAGGACAACGCTATCAATCGATTTACCTGGTGTGCTTTGTTGTTTGGTACTGCTCCTGGTTGGTAGAGCATCATGTTTGACGACCGATGGTCAATGGGACTTTATCCTGTCCGTTGGTGCATGCTGCTTTCTTGGATGATGATCTTGGGATCAGTCGAGATGTTTGGGTGTAGTATTCCACATAGAGAAGTTACCAGATCGAGTTTGTTCTTGTGTCTGTTAGTTTGCTTCCTGTTGCAGAACATTTTTACCAAACGAATCATTTTTCTTCCAATTTCTCCGCTGACGCATTGATGCCTTGTTGCATACTGTGCCTTTGCAGCTCTTCACCTTTCTTCTCATTGTATTGTTTGCCCAAGTTATGGTAGCTTTGTCAGGCGAACTTAGGCACCTGGATCATATTTTCCTAACCGAACTGAAAAGAAATAAGCAGACTTGGCTAATCTGAAATAGAGGCGTCTCCTAACCCCTAAAAGCGATTCCTCTCTGGAACGAAGTATTGGCTAAAAGACCAGCGAATAACATGAGTGGAACAGTTGCAGTCGAGCGGGAGTAGTAACAGCCTAATCCCATGGGGTGTGTCTACAAGTGTGCACCCGTAGTGGTCAGCAGTCCGTACTCTATTCGCTGACAATCCTCCCTCGGTTTTCTCGATCCCAGTGATGTTGGCTAATGTATCACTGCAGATGGAAATATTGTCTACAGCTAACCACAGGAGATGTGGATACATATGCAGTTTCCATTTCCCCTGCCGTTGTGACTGGGAAGCTACTAAAGCGACATAATGCTACCAGGACCAGGTACAAAGTGTCCGGGTGCATGTGAAGCAGACTACATGGTAGCACCTGTATTTCCGTAACCTACAAATAATCTACAGTAAGAGGGTAGCGGATCGCTATGTATACCTCGGAACCATACCATTTCCAACTCAACTGAATCCATAACGGACTCAAGACCTTAAGCAAATCTTGTTCCTCCACGCGAATATGCAACTCAGACCATAAGCAGATCAAGTTGCATCCAATGTGGCGTAACGCACAAATGAACACCCATCATCTTGACCAATTGCAAATTAGTGCACAAGTACTCAGAACACCTGCATTGGTTGGTGCAACGGTTAGGTCCATGTGCACTTTTGGTTTTGCGCTCAACGAACACACAACGTTATGCGCGCGCGGACGCCAGAAAACAACATGTGAACTCAGTCACTGTAGGATGCGGTGCGGACTAGCACGCAACATCCATGGCTGGTTGAGGAAGTACTTTACCTCAGACAATTATGCGACTTCAAGACACACAATACAGAACTGGGGGGCCGGATATTCCATCCGCCTTCATAGTGCTCACTGTTGCGCGCATCCGACGAAAAGTGACATGCGCTGCACAATGACACTCAGTATGGATTGCCTTCACTGAAGCTAGCTATCAGAAATGTCCGGCAACCTCACGTGGTGTGACCTAGGCTTAGCGGCGTCTTAGTGTGATCGGATGTGGGTAATGGTGCTTAGGTGAAATAATCAATGCGTGCGGTGTTTCACTACGCGCTATCATGGAACAATGTGTTAGGTGTCGGT